AGACCCCCGGGCTCCGGAGGAAAAGGTTGGCAATTTTCAACAGTAAAGCGGCGGTGGATCACGCTCTCTCAGATCTGGACAACCCTTTCCTTTGGACCGGTTTTGCCTCCCGAGTGTTCTTTTATTCCCAACCATCCTGTGGTTTTGGTCCTCGTTTTGCATAGACAGCGCCCCGCGTTCACTCCTCCCGCTGCCCCCTCCCTCTTCCTTTCATCGCCATCATCATCACCATCATCATCCTCCTCCTCCTCCTCCTCCTCCTCATCATCATCATCATCATCATCATCATCATCATCATCATCATCATCGCCATCATCGCCATCATCGTCATCACCCGTTTCAGCACACCCCTCACCGTTTTCGTGGCCTCATAGGGAGCTCCAGCGAAGGTCCCAGTGCTACCGCCCGCATGCGTCCCCCCTACCCAGTACAGCGTTTCGTGGCCCCAAAGGGAGCTGCACCGAACGTCTCAGTGTTACCGTCCGCATGCGTTTCCCACCCACACACAGCGCTTCGTGGCCCCATGGGAACTCCACCGAAGGTCCCAGTGCTACCGCCCGCATGCGCCCCCTCCCACCCAGAACAGCGCTTCGTGGCCCCATAGGGAGCTCCACCGAAGGTCCTAGTTCTACTGCTCGCGTGCGTCCCCCCCACATACAGCGCTTCGTGGCCCCGTATACGGAGCTCCACCGGCAGCCCCAGTGCTACCGCCCGCATGCGCACTCCACCCAGTGCAGCGCTTGGTGGCCCCGTATAGGGAGCCCCACCGACGGCTCAGTGCTACCGCCCGCGTGCGCCCCCCCTCGCCCAGTACAGCGTTTCGTGGCCCCATAGGGAGCTCCACCGAAGGCCCCAGTACTACCGCCCACATGCGGTCCCCCACCCAGTACAGCGCTTCGTGGCCCCATAGGGAGCTGCACCGATGGCCCCAGTGCTACCGCCCGCACGCGTTCCCCCCCACCCAGTACAGCGTGTCGTGGCCCCATAGGGAGCTCCACCGAAGGTACTAGTCTACCCGCCGCATGTGTCCCCACCCAGTACAGCGCTTCGTGGCCCCATCGGGAGCTCCGAGGAAGGTCTCAGCGCTACCGCCCGCTTGCGTCCCCCCCCCCAGTACAGCGTTTCATGACCCCACACGGATCTCACGGCAGCCCCAGTGCTACCGCCCGAATGCGTCCCCCCACCAGTACAGCGCTTCGTGGCCCCATAGGGAGCTCCACCGACGGCCCCGGTGCTACCGCCCGCATGCGTCCCCCCCACCCAGTACAGCGTTTCGTGGCCCCATACGGAGCTCCACCGACGGCTCCAGTGCCACCGCTCTCTTGCGTTCCCCCCACCCAGTACAGCGCTTCGCGGCCCCATCGTGAGCTCCGAGGAAGGTCCCAGCTCTACCGCCCACATGCGGCCCCCCTTACCCAGTGCAGCGCTTCGTGACCCCCATAGGGAGCTCCACTGGCAGCCCCAGTGCTACCGCCCGCATGCGTCTCTCCCACCCAGTACAGCGTTTCATGACCCCACGCGGAGCTCCACCGGCACCGGCAGCCCCAGTGCTACCGCCCGCATGCGTCCCCACCACCCAGTACAGCGTTGTCTGACCCCATAGGGAGCTCCACCGACGGCCCCGGTGCTACCGCCCGCATGCGTCCCCCCCACGCAGTACAGCGCTTCGTGTCACCCGACAGGGAGCTCCACCGACGGCCCCAGTGCTACCGCACACATGCGCCCCCCCACCCAGTACAGCGTTTCGTGGCCTCATACGGAGCTCCGAGGAAGGTCCCAGCGCTACCGCACGCATGCGCCCCCCCCCACCCGGTGCAACGTTTCGTGGCCCCATCGGGAGCTCCACCGACGGCCCCGGTGCTACCGCCCGCATGCGTCCCCCCCACCCAGTACAGCGTTTCGTGGCTCCATACGGAGCTCCACCGACGGCCCCAGTGCCACCGCTCTCTTGCGTTCCCCCCACCCAGTACAGCGCTTCGTGGCCCCATACGGTGCTCCACCGAAGAAGATATTCACAATTGCGGTACCCACAACTGCATGTGTCTGGGTCCTTCGCCACGAGATGTTTTTTGCTTGGGGGCCGGGCGAGGGCCCCCCCGAGGCCGAGAACTGGCCAAAACCCGCCACCAGGAGTTTTCTTCCGCGGCGCGAGGAGGTCTGGGTAACACCGATCCTGGGCCCAGGGCCGCCCCAGGCAAGTCGGCGATCCTCGGGACGCGTGTTCGCCGAAGGTGTGTTTGATTACCCCGGGCAGCTCCATTGATAGCACGCAGCCTGTCTCTGCCCTCACTGCACTTTCAGCGTCGTACGGAGAGGCTTCGGCGGACGAGCGCACGCTGGCGCGAGCACACGTTCTCAGGATCAGCGAGCTGGGATCAGTGGGGCGGTCAGTTTGGCGCCCCCCGGGGAAGGTATCGGAGGAGGACGCCGGGCAGCGCATCAGGAGCACCCGCCGCGCGCCCGCGGCGCCGCCCCCGCGGCGTGCCCGAGGGGGCTGAGGTCGAGGCTCGCCGAGGTACCTCGGGCGGGTGGTAGCGGGGGGCGATGCTCATGGGGGGTGCAGAACAGGGCCCCGAAGTGGCCCTCTAGGGCCCACAGGCCCTTGCCTTCACCCCCTCCTTTAGGTCGCCCCCCATTGCCACCCGCCCGAAGTGCCTCGAGTTTTGGTTTGACGTCGAGGGCGTCAAACCAAAACTCCGCGAGGGCGTCAGGGGGCTGGTCCGCCAGGGAGGGAGTGTGTCGATGCTCGTCGATCGGCGGTGAGTCCACGGGGAGGGAGGGCGGCGGGGCTTCTCAGAAGTCCCCGGGGGCCTTCTGAGAAGCCGCTCCTGTTTCCGGAGGAGGCCCGGGGGAGTTTTCAGAAGGTGCGAGGGCCTCTGGGCAGTCCACCGCCGCCCTCTGAGAGGGGCTGCCCCTTGTCACTTCGCCCCTGGGCTCGCCGCCAAGCCGAGGCGACTCGAGCTTTTGTGACGTCGAGGGTGTCGGGCAGCTCTTTCGGCCTCCGGGGGCCCTCACGGGCCCCGGGGGACGGTCCGCAGAAGAGCTCGGGGCGAACCAACATTGTCCTTGGCGAAGAAAGTCACAGGCTGGGGTTCTGGTTTCGCTGAGTTTAGTTTAGGCGCGCTTGTCGCCCTTTCCCCAAGGGGTCCCTTCTGAACCCGTTCGGCGTCTTGGCTCGGTCGGCCGCCGGGAGAGGAGCCGCACGGGCTCGATCCCAGCAGGGTGGTCGGCACCGAGTCCGGTCGGCTACCGAGTGGGGTCGACCTTGAATCCGTTCGGCGGCCGGGCGGGCTCAGACGCCGACTGGCTCAGAAGGGGAGCCTTGGGCATCCCGATGGGGGAAGGGAAGGAGCATCGATGCTCGATGTGCGATGATCATTGTGTTTTGTTATTGTATGTGCTGTTCTCGTTTTGGGTGTCCTCGGGGGGAATCCTGCCGCAACGGCTATCCTGACTTTTCGTGAATTGGTCAGTGCGTGCCCCTGGAGAGGTCCATGGGTAGAGTTTCATTGATGCTTGATTGTGTGACGGTCCATGGTTTTTGGCCTGGGATCGCCAAGAATCGATACAGGATGGACAAGTGGCCAGCGTGGACCCCAGGAGGCAGCTGGGGGCAGGTTATTGTTTTCTTATTCGTTGTTTTGCCGATCGGCGCAGGCCCTCGCACCTCCCCCTCCCCCCTCCCATAGAGTCGATCTTGGCTGTTTTTAGCGCTTGTTTCGAGCAGGTGAAGTCTCCCCTCCATAGGACGCACTGCGGCAAACAGCCGCTCTAAGCAGAGGTCTGGAGCTAGACCCCCCCCCTCCCCCCCCCTTTCCGCCCAATGTCGATACGACAAATAAGAACACGCTCACCATGAACTTTCGGAGGTTCGCGCGGATTTCTTGGGTCGGCGCTGGTGTCCCCTTGGCGGCGCCTTCGGCGGCACCCCTGGCGCACCTCGCGGCGCCAGGGGAGGGGGTCCAGCGCGGATCCAAGAACTACTCTGCGCGGCCCTCCGAACGTTTACGTGAAATTATGCTGGTGCCTCTTCTTCTACTCGGCGATTTGGATGTTCTAGGTTTTCGAGGTTCGGGTTCGAGATTCGAGGTTTTCGGATTCGAGGTTCGAGGTTTTCGGATGTTTTCGTCGGCTCTCAGCGGTTTTCGAGCCTCGGGATGCTTCCCAGCAGCTGCGCCTTGTCGCGGGCGTTCAGGGGGTGCCCGGATGGTCCCGAACGCCCAGTGGAGACCCGAGTTATGACCCCAAAACCAAATTCGGCGGCGAGCGAGGGGGGGAAGTGAGAAGGAGAAGGCCTTCTCAGAGGGCGGCGGGACTTCTCAGAAGCCCTCGCGCCTTCCGAGAAGCTGTTGTTTCTGTCTTCGGGGAAGGCTTAGAGAGAACTTCTCAGAAGGCCGGGGGATTTCCGGACCTTCCAAGAAGGCCTTCTGCTTCTCACTTCCCCCCCTCGCTCGCCGCCGATCTTCTTCTACAGCGGTGCCCGCACCAACGGTGGGCCTCCTGGGCCGCCAGGCTGAAGACGTCCGTCGGCAGCCGGTGGCCACGAGTCATCGCCCAACCGACCATGCTGTACCAACGCGTAGGGTTAAGTCGGGCCTTTCCCTGTACAGGAGGAATGCTCAAAAATAGTAGCCAAATCGTCTAGCGACGATTCTTGCTGTTTAGTTTTGTAATATTTCGCCGAAGTCCGCCCGAAATCCACCTGTGGGGGGACATGCCCGACCTAAACGTCGGGTTGCCCTCTTGCGGACTTCCCATGTGCACCGAGCGGTGGGTTCTGGGGGGTCGGATGCCGTGCCAACGTCTTCTGTGCTGAAGGGCGGTGCACAGGGGGGAGAGGCGGATGGGGTCGGGCAGGGCCAGGAGAGGAGAGAAAAGGTCGGGAAAGGCGAGGAGGAGGAGGAGGAGGAGGTGTCGGGAGGAGTACTTGGCGACCCTCTGTCTCAGTACAGTTGACCGAGTGCCAGGCTGGTAAGACAGAGCTGTCAGCAGCCGAGTCTGGTCTACCAGTTATGGGCGAGAGAAGGGGGTGGAAGAGTAGAAAGTGTGGAGGAGGTCTTGGTCGGAAGGAGGGGTGGGGGGACGGATGGGAGGATGAGGATGTATCGAGGATCGAGGAAACAAGGCTCGATGTGCTCGGGCTTTTTTCGTTGTCTTCTGGTGACATCCGGGGGACAACTCTGGAGGCGTCTGGAGACCTCCAGAGACTTTCAGAGATGCCTGGAGGCTTCAGGGGAGAGGGATGAGAGGGGCGTTTTCCCAGATGGTTTCTTTTAGAATTTCGGCCCCAGGGCTTCCTTTTTTTGGGGGGGGGTTCGGGAAACGGAAGGGAGGGGAGGAGTGAGCACGAGCGTAGAATTCATGGGATCCTGCGTGGCCACATCACCATTAGCTGCAACACTAACTCGCAAGATACGGATTGTTGCCTGCTGCAGCGGACTCTGAGAAAAAGGTCCGGGTCCCACTGGGATCACGCAGTCCTGAGTCCTGCGCATGAACGGGTGGCACCGCCAGATGGGAGGAGGAGGAGGAGGAGGAGGAGGAGGAGGAGGGGGAGGAGGAGGACGAGGAGGAGAAGGGGGAGCAGGAGGAGGAGGTGGAGAGGAGGAGGAGGAGGAGGAGGAGGAGGAGGAGGAGGAGGAGGAGGAGGAGGAGGAGGAGGAGGAGGAGGAGGAGGAGAAGGGGGAGCAGGAGCAGAAGGAGGAGAGGAGGAGGAGGAGGAAGAAGGAGGAGGAGGAGGAGGAGGAGGAGGAGGAGGAGGAGGCGCAAAATGCGCGGCAGCGGCCCGCGGCTCCCCAGCGACGTGTCGCACGCCCTCTACCGCCAGAACCTCGCCGCCGTGGTGGACAAGGCCAGGGAGGGGCCCGCGTCTTGGATCCGCCACAGCGCCCACGGAGGGCGCTCCAGAGAGGGCTTCTCGGGAGGGGAAAAAACACACACATACACAATTGGTCGTCGATCCCGCCAAAAATATGCGAAAATATGGGAAGTGGGGGGGGAAGACAAAAACCCAGGAAGTATGGGAAAATTTTGGGCATCCTGGTATTTGTGTGTATTTATTTGTGTGTCCCAGGGCCCCTTCAGCTTCGCGCTCGAGGGATCGACGGAGATGGCAGGGTATGTTTTGGAGTATTTTTTCGGGGGGCATTTTTTGCCCATTTCGGGGGTATGTTTTGGAGTATTGGTTATTTATCGCCCAAAGCTCCCCGGTAGGGGGACACGCCCGACGCAGAACTGGCCCCAGCATGCCGTCCAAGACAGGTCTCAGGTCCCGAGCGATCTGCCCTCGACCCTGGGCGCGGCTGCTCTGGGCTCGCTGCCGGTGCTCGTAGGGGGGAGGTTCGTCAGGGCAGTTCGTAGCTTCGGGGTCGCGACCCCCTCTCCACTGTCCGCTGCTGCGGGGCTCTGCGTCTGCATGCGCTCGCGTTTACAGATGTCCGGCTGCTTGCGGCAGGCCGCGTGTTCTCGAGCACACGTACACGTGCACGTGCAAGTGCGCCAGCATGAACCTGCACACGTACGCACTGGCATGCGCAGGGTCGTACGCACACACTCGCGCACTCACACGCGCGCGAGTCGATATGCGCACATGAACACATTTCCCCTCACCTACACGAGCAGCGACGCACGTCCGTATACATCGGGGGCGGAAAAGAGGGGGGTGATGACTAGGGGGGGGTGGACATCATGGCGGGGGCCATCATATTTCCCCAGATTTCATGGCGCTTCTTCTTGTTTCATTACCTCCCTGGCCCCCCCGCTGGGCCGCGCACATGCCGCCGGTCATGATTTGCACCCCCCCCTCTTGGACACCCCCCTCTTGGCCGCTCCCGGATACACTCAAGGCTACGCATCAAGGGACAACAAACAGTATAGACGAGACCTGTTCAGTTGTTTTTGCCAGGCCCCATGTGCGGAAAACCAACCGACTGGCCTTTGCACCGCACGTCGGCCCTCCCAGCGTCTGCCCAGTTCGCCCCTCGAGCGCAGGGAGGCGACGCGACACCCACACCCACCAGGGGGCCCACCGCCAGCCAGGAGCTCCGCGCTGCCCCTCTCCGAGCTGGAGGCCTGGGGACGTCTCGAGCGAGAGGGGGGGCACCACACCACCAGGGAACTCACCCCTGCCTCCTCGCACCTCCTCGCCCCGTTGGTGTTGGTGTCGCCTTGCCTTACTTTGTATATTTTTGCTTTTGCGCTTTTTGTAAAGTAGTTGTAAGTGCACCGCAACAGCCTTATAACAAGGCTGCAACATAGTTATAACAGCGTTAGCGGGATAATAATTTCAGGTAATATATTGCGGTTTTATAACTTCTTATAAAAGTTGTAACCCATTCATAACTGCTTTCCAGATTACAACATAATTCTGAGCCGCAGAATTGTGAAATCTTATTAAAAAATTATGACCCAGTTATAAAAATTGTAAAAAATTATGAAAAATTATGAAAAATTAACATATTTTAAGATTCGCGCTGTATGGGGGAATGATGTCGCACGGCGGGGAGACACTCGCCTGATAAGGAACCCCACGGGCGTCCTTGACGCCCCCTGAAAAATTGCAGAAACCGTACCCGACAGCCAACGGGCACTCTAACACGCCACAGCCGTACAAGCACGGCGGCGGATTGCTTCTGCCCTTTGTACGTTGGCGGTCCACGATATGCACGGGTCAGAAAAATAATCCCACCAGCTCTCTGGGCGTAGGTGGTTTAGAGAGTTTGATCTTCCCCCTCCCCTGGACCTGGACGGGGGGCGCGGCGACGCGTTGGAGCGTCCGAAATGGCCTCGGTGAGGAAGCCAACATCATTGATGTCACTAAGGTGTTGGCCCCATTTTGGCCTCCTGGGGGGGGGCTAATTGAGGACCCCCCCTTCGTTGACCAATCTTCTCCAAGATGGCTCGAAGAAGCGCTCAGGAGGCCCCAAGAGGTCCCAAGATGGCCCCAAGATGGCCACACGAGGTCCCCAGGAGGCCCCCAGGAGGCCCCCAAGACCCCGAAGAGCCCCCCAGGATCGCCAAAAGACCCCCAAGACGTCCCAAGAGGTCACCACGAATCGCCCAAGAGATACCCCAAGAGGCTCCGAGAGGCATCCAAGAGACCTCTGGCCCTTGTGGTTGCCCTCCTCCTCCTCCTGTTCCTCCTTTCTGTTCCTACTCCTTCTCTTCCTCCTCCTTCTCCTCCTCCTCCTCCGCCTCCTCCTCATCCTATTCATCCTCCTTCTTCCCACTCCCTCATCCATCCATCCATCCATCCACCTCGTCCTTCTCCTCCTCACTCCTTTGCACGGTTCGGCCGTCCTCCTCTTTTCTGCCGCACTTCCCTGATCACCTCAACTCGCCTGGACATCGTTTCTGGATGGGCTGGTGGGGATACGCGAAGCGTCTACAGTTCGATCGACAAGCGCGGCAGACCAGCACGGCAGACCAGCACAATGAATACATCGCATGTTAGTTTGTTTGCAGTGCTACTTGTCGTAGTTGCGTGGTCAGCGTGTGTCATTTCTGCCCATCTTACGTGGTGGGGGGGAGGATGGGATGATGATGAGGAGGATGGTGTCATAGCCGTTTTGGCCAAAGGAGTTGGCACGCGTTCGGTCCGACAGCTGCACCACAGATCGAGCAGACGACCGATGGCAGCCCAGGCGTCGACTGCAGCCGTGGCAGTGACCTCTGGCACGTTCACGTGCATCGACTGCGAGAAGCCCAAGGCAGTCCTCCCTTATCCCGCCTCCGCCCTCCTCTTGTTCGCCCCGTTCCTCCTCCTTCCCCCCGTCTCCTCCTTCTCCTCATCCTCCTCCTCCTCCTCCTCCTCCTCCTCCTCCTCCTCCTCCTCCCCCACCTTCTCCTCATATTCCTCCTCCTCGCCCTCCTCCCTTCCCCCTCATCCTCCTCCCCGTCGTCCTCCCCCACACCCCTCCTCCTCCTCCTCCTCCTCCTCCTCCTCCTCCTCCTCCTCCTCCTCCTCCTCATCCTCATCCTGCTCAACCTTCCCCATCTCCTCCTCCTCCTCCTCCTCCTCCTCCTTCTCCTTCCCCTCTTCCTCCTCCTCCTCCTGCTCCTCCTCCTCCTCCTCCTCCTCCTCCACGTCCTCGTCCTCGTCGTGCTCTTCCTCCTCCTCCTCCTCCTCATCCTCATCATCCTCCTCACCTCCTCCTCCTCCTCCTCCTCCTCCTCCTCCTCCTCCTCCTCTCCAGGTCGAGGGCGCCTTGGCGTACGTGACTAAGAGTGGGGTGGAAAAGAGGCGCTGTTCAGACTGCAACAGCTTCAGGGGCAAGAGGAACCGCTGGTTCAAGGACCCTGCGCTCAAGGACCAATGGCACAAATTCGGCGCCGACGAGCGCGCCCAGTTCGTCGATCAGTACCGCGACGACCCCGATGCCCTCCTTGCCGTTCTCTTGACGAAGGCCAACGAGACCAAGCGCGAGAAGGCCAGCGAGGAGCGCGCAGGGACGGGCCACTACATGGACGAAAAGGACGTGTGGGACAAATATTTCGAGAAGCCAGAGGTGGCCAAGGCGATCCTCGCGAACGCCGACAACTTCGTTTGCGACATCACGGGCCGCATAATGTACGAGGACCTCAACTACACGCGCACGCGGAAGCGGTGCGAGGAGTCCGAGAAGGTCGCGACGAGGGAGCTCACCAGCGAGAGGACCCTGAAGAAGAGTAAGCGCGCGGCTGGCGGCACCCCCACGACAGGAGGGCCGCATGCCGCCACGCCTGGAGGTCAGGAGGGCGGCGCTGGTGGCAACAGCGGGAAGGGCGGCAAGACGAAGAAGACGGTTAAGGTGACCCCTGCCCAGAGGTCCACGCTCACAAAGGCCAAGAACTTCCTCTCGAAGCAGAAGGATGTCATCCAGACGAACGTGGACGACGCGGAGAAGGCCAACGAGGGGCAATTCATGCCGCGGCAGCTCCTGCCAGCCTGCAGGGCGGTCGTGGCGGAGATCGGGGCCATCTCGGCGGAGATCGACACCATCGCCGACGAGGCCTTCGAGCCGCCTGAGGGCTTCAAGGTGGGTGAGATCAACGGTAGGATCAAGCTTCTCAAAGAGAAGGTCAGGGAGCAGATCCGCAAGCTGTTCCTCCAGCGCCAGGAGGCGCAGGAGGAGCTGCAGCTGCTGGCGGGCGGAGTGCCGACCACGGAGCCTTGATCTGGTGAGGGTTTCTGAGCGATGCGTTCGCGATTTCACTATTGCATGCCCCAGGCAGGCTGCTTTGGGTATATGTTTGCATTTCGGCCCTGATGCAGTCGCCGCCCGAGGGGCGCCAGTGCCTCGCAGCAAGCCGTGGGTGAGCCATCTCTTGCGCCAAGCTTGTCGTTTTTTTTGTTTACTCTTCTTTTTGGCACGCCTGCGGCCCCTTAGGATGCATCGCGGCTACTCGGCCCAAGACGCGCGCGCATGGATACCCAGGCCCCCCCACATCCCCCACCAGACCCATCCCGTCATGAGAAGCGTTACGCGTATATGGTTCTCATGGGTCGCGTGGGCTGGGTAGTCGTTCTGCTGCTTGCGATGCTGGCCAGCCTGCCAAGATAGCAATAACGCTCAGCGCATTGAGAAGTGGCGCGCTGCGAAGGCCATTATAGCTACACGTGCACAGTTGTCCTCCCTATATACAACATATAGGGCGAGTCGGTACCGCCAAGTGCAGCGTTTGGGCATTGCTGATTACGCTTGTCGTTGGGCACTGTGCAACCTGGACGGCCGCCACAAGACGCGACGTGACAACAATCTCTGTGCCGTGCAGAATGCTACTCGCTATGCTGCTCGGTATGGTACTCGATATGCTACTCGCTACGTCATTTCACCTTCCACTCGCTGTGCTACTCGCTATACTAATCGCTAT